CTAGCTATCTGTCTGTCTGGTTTTTGTGTTTCTGTGAAATGTTAGGAGGGCTTTGGAGCAGAAGAACCTGGGGAGGCAGAAGTAGATTTATCAGCTCTTCCTCCGACCCTTGAAAGCAAAACACAGCTTTTTCTCTGGGTTCAGAAAAATGATTCAGAAGATTCCTTTTTTTTTTCTTCCGTGCTTACACTGTGGGTGGGATTTAAATGCGGTGCTGGGGTTGGTGAAGATTGTCAGCTTCTCATTTTTAAAGGCCCCAGCTGAGATATAATGAATGATTGTCTTGTCAACCTGAGCCTTGGAGTCTCTATTATTTCAGGTAAATATGTATCCCAGATCAGTATCTAGAATTTCTACGTTTCCTTTATGCTCCAAAAAGATTTTCATTTTAAAACCATTTGAATTTATAGTACAAGTCCAGTTTCAAGTTACCTTTTAGGAGCTCCTTGGCTACTATATTGAATGGATGAAGGAAGCAGGTCACTTGGTAGAGAGCTTGCTTAGCCCTGGGTTCAGTTGCTTCATGGCAGGGTTTGGCAGTGCATGCCTGCAAGCCCAGAGATCAGGAAATGGAGGAAGAAGGGTCAGGAGTTCATGGTCATCCTGGGCTACATAGTGAATTTGAGACCAGCCTGGGCTACATGAGAGGAATCAATCACTGAAGGGCTAGGCAAAAAGGGGAAAGATGTGATTCCTTTAGGGACACATGTACCTGTCCGTGCACGCGCTCGTGTGTGGGTGTGTGTGTGTGTGTGGGGGTGGGGGGGTGGTGGTGGGGGGGGGTGTGTGTGTGTGGTGTTTACCACAGGACAGAAACTCAAATGTTTGGCTTCATGAATGCTCAATGTAAACTGTGTGCCACAGCATTCTAGTGCAGCCTCTAATTGCTGAATTTCAACAGATCAACAGCTGCCATTTGACTGCTCAGCACCTGCTCCCTGGAGACTCTTGAACATGTCAACCCAGAAGCCAACGGCTGGGAAAAGATTACTTAAGGATAGCACAGTAAAATAAACTTCCATCTGCAAGATGCACAGTTCAAATGCTAATCCCTCTCAGGGCTGTGGGAACAGATGAAGACCGTTGGGCATGAACCTGGGCTGGTGATCAGGACATTAACCTCCCGAGAGTTCTGTTATGAGGAATGTGCCTGGGACAAGGGCCTCAATAATGGATGCTGAAACAGCCACTGGAGTAGTGATACAGGGAGCTTTGGAAAAGGGTTAAATGACTAGGCTCAGGCCTACAGCAAGAATATTTGCTACTGGGTTAGGGAGTTCTAGAAGTCTTTAGTAGCTACAGGGTTACAGTCCATAGGCTGGGGAAATGGTGTTAGGAGAAACCTAACCTGAAGCAGGTAAAGATGGGAGATGGTAACTACCTTTGTCTGTAGCACCTAACTGACTTTGAGCTTTATCTAGAGACTAGAATATGGAGAACCTATATTCTAATGATGCAGCCCAAACCCACACATACTGCTACAAACAACTGTATTTGCTAGACGTCCTAGAGATGGGTGTTTGTGCTTGAAGCCAGAGTGTGCTTTTGATGGGCACTTGTGGAGAGAACAGGAAATGGGGAAAGAAGTGGCATTAGTTAGGCAGAGAGTAGTTGATTCTTGTCTTTTTGTTGAAATTGCTGGTTCTTAGCCATGGCTGCTCTTAGAATCTCCAGGGGATTTTAGAAATCCAAACCAAACTAAAACAAAATATGTTCATTGATGCCCTATCTCTATCAACACTCCCTCCCTCAAATCTAATTGATTTGAGATGGGGCTTGAGAGCCAACATGTTTCAAAAACACTTCTGGAGATTTTAACACACAGACTAAGTACAGTACCTTAAGTATGACTGCTTTTTTGTGCTGCTAAGAAATGCCTTTGAGTCTTCATTTGTACCTACTAAAGCTGTTAAGAATCTGGTTGAAGAATACTCTATCAGTCTTCAACAACACTTGATCTATCTGTTTTAGAGGACAACTCTCATGATTAGAATATTTGGGCATTCACCCAGAGGTTTCTTCAATCGGTTCCTGTGTAGCCCATCAGTTTAGAAGGAACATTATTCAGTTTTAGTTGAACTGCGTTATAAAGTTACCCATCATGAACTATTCCAAGACTTCATTGTCAAGATTTTAAAAAAGAGTCCCCTGATGAGTTTAAGGCCACACCAACTGTGGGAAGAAAGTGTCCCTCTTAACCTAGAAAGTTGCCACCAGTTTGTCATTCAGTGACTTAAGTTAAAATTTTAAACATTTGTATGGATTTTTCTGGGGAACCTAAAGAGGGTGGTGAATTAGGCTGTGCAAATTGTGCGTATCTTTGCAAATTGTGAAATTGGCAGCTGAATAGCAACTAATTAATTGTTACTTGGCGTGACATCTATTTGGAAGTAGTTTGCCAAACAAACTGCCTTGTAAAAACATCTTTCTGAGATGGGTTTCAGGGAAATATGCAAGGCTTATACATAGAAATTGTATTTCATAATTCATTTTTGGTTAGTATCAAGTGCCTAAGAGGAGTAAGCAGGTCTACTCTTGCAGGAAGTGAGTCAAGAACAAAGCTGGGAATTGAGCCAGCTTGGAACTCGGCAGCAGCTTTCCTTCCCAAGGCTGACAGGAGGTTCTGTAATCCTTTTTTGCAAGCATTGTCAGCAGGCCTCACTTTTGGCATGTGATCAATAGATTTATCTCACCAAATAGACAGAGGAATATTTCAATATGTGTTGGAAATAGTGACCTGGGAGTAGCAACCATAGGAGACACTGAAGTAACAATATTCCAGTTGCCATAACCTTTTCGAGCTTCTGCCCTGATGGATGTTCAGACTGCTCTTCTTTTTTTTTTTTAAACCAGGGTAGCTCATTTTCAGGTTTATTTTCTCTGTAAACTATTCAACCAGCTTTGCTCGGCAATCCCGAATACCCAGTAGTGTTTTAGATGCAAGGCCAGGAACTGACCTTAAGGGCATCCATGTAAGAGCATAACTTGATGGGGACTGGGCAGAGTGTTCATCCCTCACAGAAAAAGGTTAGGAGAGCCTGTGTGCCTCAAGGCATGTTTGGATTGGATTTATGACCACACATTGATTTCTTTACTATATGTGTAAGGTGTCTTTGTTGCTGAGTCAGTGTGGAGGTTTCTCAGGCTGGGGCTTGTAGTGTGTTTGACATAATAAATATTACATCGGTTGCACAGTCTCCAGCTGTGGGATTAATGCACCTGTCCAGAGTCACTCCAAGAAAAAAAAAAACTTGGTGCCCAGCCTAGATTTCATCAGTTTTTTTTTGCTAATTCCAGAGATGAACTATTCATGTGGGCTTTTCTGCGTCCTTAATTTACATGATGTTAGCATTTTAGTCTATGGTACTAAGGTCTTCCCAGGGGTAGGAGCCTAAATCCACAGGTTCATCAAAAGAAAAGTGGAGTATTTCATGCTAAGTTTCTATGTTGTCATGAATGTAGATAAATGTCTAATGGTCAGCATTTTATCAACCATTTCCCACATATAGCTTGGAAAATTCTAAAAAACCACTATCCTATAATATACTAAAAACACTATATACATGGGCCAATAGAGAAGATTCAGAACATTTTAAAACATAAATGACAGTCATAAACAATAATTTTTGGCTGAATATAGATAACCATTTTAAAGTGGATTTATGGCTGGCTAGAAAGGTGCCTGTCACCAAGACTGACTGTCTGAGTTAAATCCCAAGACTCACAAAGTAGAAGAAAGAACACTCTCTCTAGTGCTGTTCTCTGACCTCCACAACACTCTGTGGCATGCATTACCCCCCCCCCCCAATAAATCAATGCACTAGGAGTGAATTTATGGGGGTGGATGGAGAGGTATTCATCGTTGCTTACAATCAAATCACAAAGACCTGAGTTTGGATCCCACCCATGTGGGTTGGTTCACAAAAAGCCTGTAATTTTAGCTTCAAGGTATCTGTCACTCTCTTCTGGCCTTTGAGAGCATCAACACACACTCAGCTTTACACACACATTCACATGAAATAAGCTAGTGTACAAATAGTGGGGAAGGAAGGTGTTCATACATACACATTCACATGAGATAAGCCAGTGTACAGATACTGGGAAAGGAAGACTAGATGGGACAGGAGTTGGTTGTAACTCATGAAATGCCTGGACAGTCTTTGGAGGCAGTAAGCCTCATTGTAACAACCAAGCACAGACATTTCTAGCAGGTTCTTGGACTATTCTCTGCTTTTCAAATTCTTACCCTTCTCATTTTTTACCCCTCTCTTTTGCCATTTGTCCTTGCTGCTGCTGCTATTTACCTATAAATACCTCCTGTCTGAAGTCCCTTCTGTCCTAGGAATAGGGAGATGATGGGACTCAAGCACTCATCTTCTGTTTGGTTATCTTAGAGGAGAAGCCACTGACTCTATTGTAGACATAACAAAGGATAGCTTATTCCATGAAACCGGGTGTGCCCAGCTTTCAGTGTTGCCTGTACCCTGTGGGATCCAGGAGCTCCACCATCACCCTTTCACAGTCAAGCTCCAACCCCAGAAATTTGCCCAGAGTTTTCATAGGATTCTTAACTTGATAAACCTCATTGAAGGCTCTCAAGAGGACCAAACATTAAAAGGTCTAATGGTTTCTTTTGAGCATCTGGCATTGGAGTAAAGAAACAGGATCCAGCAAGAGCAAACAGACAGCCTTTAAATTTTTTTCTTGGCTTGCTGGTAGCTCAGTCTCCTGGTCCTAGAGCACGCATCTCCTTCTGGATGGCAGCCACTGATGACTGGAATACCATGCTGCTGTCATTTCCACCACCTTTCTGTTACAGCCAGGCAAAGCAAAAGAAAAAAGAAAAAAAAAATCCCTTTGAGCAGAGAATACTAAGTGAAAACTTGGCGTGAGTTAGAGTTAGGTGCAAGAGCTGCACAATCACTCTTACCCTTGGGTTTTACCCCAGGGGGCAGAATCAAGGTAGGAGGTACCCCAAGGTGGGAAGCCAGGGTGCTTCATAAGCAGGCTCCTTCAAGGAGCATGCATTGTCCTTGTGAGGTCACTGCTCTTTTCAGGACAAGTACTGTGGGCACGATGGCCCCCATTCAGTAAGAAAGTTGCTGGCAAGTGGAAGATCAGAATACTGTCAGTACCTTTCAATCTCACAGCTCTTTCTTGTGGACAGCTCTCTATGTAGCCACATTTCCTACCTACTCTATACCCCCTGCCTGTTATTTCTCTCCATGATACAAAGTTTGATGCATTTACATCCCAATGTTATTTTCTGTGGGGAGGAGTTGTCTTTGGGAAGCTTAGAGTAAGACTGATACTGCCCAGTTTCTTGCACAATCCCCCATAGCTGCACCAGAGGAATGGCCTGGTCAGACTTGCCGTGTTGGTGACTTTTCTCTTGCTGTGACAAACACCTGACAAAAGCAACCTGTGGAAGGAAGAGTTTATTTTGGTTTATGACTTGAGGGTCCAGTCCTTCATGGTGGGGATTACATGGTAACAGGAGTCTGAAGCAACAGGTCACGTTGTAGCTTCCATTAGGAAGGAGAGAGAGAGAGAGACAGAGAGAGAGAGATGAATGCTGGTGCCCAACTCAGCTCACTCTCTTTTTGACTCATCAGAACTCTAGCCCAAGTAAAGGTGCCACTCACATGCAGGGTAGCTCTTTGTTCTCTTACATGTCCCAACTAGAAACTTCCTCATAGATACATCCAGAGGTTTGTCTCCTAGGTGATTCTAGATGATGTCAAGTTGACAATATTACCTATCACATCTGGGGAGCTGCCTTAACTGCTGGAGGTGGGATCTTCCCTCGGGGAGGGTGGTGGCCGGGAGAATCTCCTTTGGGTTATAAATCCAGAAGGTCATAGGTCCAGAAGAGCAAAGTGATTTATCTTATCTAACTAGGGTTGAGTGTTTTGGTCCACATGTAGATACAGTAGAGGTTCATTCACGAAG